CTATTTGACTATTACACCTTGACTATTAGATTTTGTTTCACTGGTTTAATGTCTTCACTCTATTAGACTAATACACCTTAGAAGTCTCTAATTCCATTGTTTTCTTTTGTGTCTATTTGACTATTACACCTTGACCATTAGATTTTGTTTCACGGATTTGATATCTTTCACAACAGCAGTGTCATAACTTCTACTTTTACTTACTTAACATAACTTTTACTTACTTTTAGAGCACAATTTTCCAGTATAACCAGGCTTACAAAAGCACGTGACATCATTGACTCCATCCTTACAATGCCCATCATGCAAACAGGGATTGTTTGGCTTGCAGTCATCCCGATCTACAACCAAACGATAAAATCGTTACACTAATGTAAGCATCAGTTCCCCAGTTAGGAGTCCCATGGTGTAACTCGGTACTCGCCCTGATAAAAACCATATCCTAAACCTAACCTTAATGCTAAACTAATATAATTTAAGTTATTATAACTTGGGGAATATCATTGCGAAAAGTACTGAGTATGAGTATGTCTTGAAAACAAAATGGAGGTCAATTGTGAAGAGCTTGTATAAATAAAATACAATTACATTTCATCTTAGATAAAACTATCATGCCCCGTGATAATGAAGACCTTTTAAACTTTTCACTACTCTTGATCTTAACTTTTGTGATTTTGTCCAAGGCTCGAAACACCGGCATCAAAACGTTGCCCCTAGTTACCATACATCCTTCCGTAGTTCGTTTGGCTCCCCAGTKTCGGAACTAGGACATTAACATGCATCATGTGAMTAGTTCCCAGTACTTACTCTCYTCGCATCTCTTTCCTATATACCCAGGGACGCAATCACAGCGGAAATCGTTCACTTTATCAAAACATGTTCCTCCATGGCGGCACGGGCTATCTTTGCAATCATCATAGTCTGTGAAATCAGAGAGCGTTAGAAACATCACAAACTTTAACTTTAAGAAAATTCTATATTTCATCAGTGTGGTATTCCTGTGGCATATCAAAGAATAGTATGAATTGTATATCACAAACTTTAACTT